AAAAACGTCATTTCCTACCCAAAAACGTCTTTTTCAAATGAATGTAAAAAAATGGTCTTATTAAACTTTTAATGCATACCTTAGGTACATAGATATGTACGTAAGGTATATTAAAATGTCATTTCGACAGAGCACATTTAAAATTCATTGTAAACTGGTTTGAGATCGTTGATATAAAAATAATTTTATACATATACTTGTGACCAGCTGATTAAGTCAACAACATTTCGATCGATTTTGGCTGTGTCTCTTTTGTTTATTCAATGTTTATTATTTTTCCATAAAAGCCAAGCTCATTATATAACAAACAAAATATAAATCCACATTTCAAACTTTGTGCAAAAGTTATAAAAAATCTGTAAGGTTTCAGCTAGATTTTCAATTTTTTATTCAGATTTTTTAGAATTTTTTTGAGTATGCAGCTTGATAGCGCATTAAATTATAATGTGCAAGTTTGAATGGGCTAAATAATCGCGTTGATTTTTAATAATTATTTTTTTTTCTTGTAGGCATTTGGTTAGGGGGTCGGTTATCGAAAATGCTAAATTCCGTTCTACTAAGAAGGAGCATAGCAATATTTCAGCCTTTTTTGCGTTCGTTACATCTTCAATGAAGTCTTAAAAAAGTCGCCTAGTTTTTTCTGACTTTTTATGCCGCTACAGCTTTTTTGACGCTTTTGCGAGCGTGCGTGTTGCAATAGATCGGCTCTTCCTGATCCGGCTTTTAATGTGCAATTGCAAACATTACAGCAAGCCTCGTAACCTCAAGAGTTTACAAACCAGCCTTTGAACACGGGATCCTTAGTCCAAGAATCCAAAAATTCTACTGACGATAAGGGTCCGTCAAAAAGAAAAATTACTGGGAAGTTAAAAATCGTAATTTTTTACACAAAAAACGTCCAAACGTCAACGGGATACAAAAAACGTCCAAATGACGTTAAAACCGTCAACCTGGTAACGCTGGTCATAGCACCGCGCGGCAAACTTAATTATAATAAATGCGGAATAAAAAAAATTACTACATACAAAAACTAAAAATTAATAATAATCATAAACTGATCAAAATATCAAAGAAAGTGCTATGCCGTCTAAAACGGGGATTGGAAAAAGTGTGAAAAATATAGCTTGTGTACCTGTGTATAAGCAAATACATACGGGCATACGTACATATGTACATACATGCAAATATTCATCAGAGTATGTATATGCTTATATATGTCTGCTCATAACCCTATGTACATACGTATGTCAACATGCGGTTGAAGAAAAAGCGAAAAAAGGTGATATCGCTAAAACTAAAAATCGGAGTAACAGCAAACAAAACGCACATGAATCAGTGATCTACTTACATGTTACTCAGATGTGATACTACAAAAATTCTATGCTAAATGCAAATTTCCCTAAAAACTAGATACCTGTCATATACATATGTATATGTATTTTCACTTATCAAACTGAAAAACGGAATTTAAAAAGCAAAGGAATATAGCTGTGAAAAAAAGGTAACTAAAACTTTAAGTACAAATTGAAGAGAACTCAAGAAACCTATGCAAATGACCATAACTAAGAAAATGACAAGAGCTGATCGCTGTGTTTCCAGCGCTGCTGCTGGTCAGTGCCGTAGGCGTAGCGCCCCACTTATGTATGCTCCCGCGTCGCTGCTACTGTTGTCTCGTCTCTTTCTGCTGTTAACATCCCTTTCCCAGTGGCTATAGGCCTGCTCCCACTGGAAGGGCGTTGATGTTGATGTCACTTGCCGTGATGTGATATGATCCGTGAATAGTGTGCTGTGCGATTGATGTGATGTACTATGTATTTAGGTGGCTTTTGTTCCATTGGTGCAAGTGAACCTATGTCGCTAGTACGTGCGGATGTGTGTTAATGTGCTTCCTGTGGCTCGAGGCTATTGGCAAAGATATTCGCTGTAGGTATGTACCAGTGTTGCCAAACATGGCCTTTTCCTTCCAAAACTGGTAGGTTTTTTTTTCTATTTGGTAGGTTGGTAGGCTAGATTGGATTTTGGTAGGTTCCGCGACAATAATAGTTATTTGCGAAAAATATAAAATATGTATCTCCAGACATTTTAGCAACCTTGTTTACGCGAATAGTCCACCATTGTCCACCTGACAGAGACTTCATTGTAAGCCTTGAAGAATATCACCAAAACTAACCTATTGGTCTTTCTAAAGCCATTCTTGGCTAATATCGAGTTATCCTTTTAAAAACCCTACAAGGTCAGAATTCCTGAAAGGGACTGCTGTGAAGTGGTAGTAACTATGATTGACGAAAGGTGCCAAGCATGGTATACCGACGGATCAAAAATGGATGACGAGAGTAATGGTGCAGGCGTATTTTGACCAAAATTCCAGAAAGTCTAGTCTTCGCAATCGAAGCCTGTGCAGAAGGACAAATGGGGCCAAATTAAATATTATGTCGAATAGTCAGGCAGGTTAAAGGCCTTAGACTCTTTTAAAAAGGCAGCAGATTTGCGGACCACTTGGAAGCTCACAATAACGTAACGCTGTGGTGGGTTCCGGGACATGAAGGGTTTGAAGGCAACGAAAGCACGCAAAGCGTGCAAAGCCCAAATGCACTTGCATAGCCCCTAGCCTTTTGTAAGCTAGTGGAAGAAACCTCAGAGCATATACTATGTGACTGCCCACGTATCATAAATAGCAGACTGATACACATTGGGGAACGATTGTCTTCTTCATCCAAAATTTTAAACATGGCGCCCTCCAAAGTGCCTAACTTCTTAAAAATAATAAGGTTGGAGTTATTATAATTAGGGTTAAGCACAATAGATAGATGTGTAAAGAGACAAACATTTGTGTAAGTCTGTACAGTAAACTGAATTGTTATGCGTTGTTAATTTGTTTTTAATTTGTTTTGTTGTTAATTTGTTTTTATTGTACTATCTGTGTTTTAGTTTTTCTAAATATTGTGTAATCTACATTTTTAATAAACTTGACATAAAAAAATATAAAAAACTTAAATAAAATTTTGGTAGGTTTTGGTTGAGTTTGGTAGGAAGTTTTGTGCGGAGATCGTTGGGATAGCGCAGATTTCTCAAAACCGTGTTTTTTTTTTTTTGGTTGACAAGCGAGTGGAGGTCCTTTCGCCTACATTAATAAATGTGCAGGCGACCTGGAAGAAAAACAACACTCTCACTTAGTATATTGGCTAGGGCAGTGGTTGAGCGGTTACAGGGTTATAATTTTGCCTTCCGCTTACATAAATGTACATAACTTTGGTGACTGGGAGGCGTACGTACACATATGTATGTA